GCGTCAGCCGTGAAGGAGGACATCATAGCATAGGAGGCGCTGACCATTCTGTTCTCTTGACCAGCCGCCTTGCTTCAGCTTGCTATGGCTGAGCGAAAAGGGCCACTTGAAGTTCGGCACTGAGCCGTGGTCGGTCGTTGGGGGTGCTAACAGATCCGCATTTTGCAATTCCAGGGGAACATTTTGAGGCCCTAAGATCAAGGCACCCAGACTGCCGCGTTGAGGTTGAGGAACGATTTTTGAGCCAGCGTGCCAGAGTTCTTTATTCGGATTCGAGTCGGTGTAAGCGATACCGTTAGGGTCACCGCCCAAGTCCACTTGGGTTGGAACAGGTATCGCACTGACGGTAGGCAAGAGGACGCAGGATGCGAAGAGAAAAGGTAGCGACCAGTGCATCCTGAAGGTGCAAGCAATGTTCCGCACTAAGAGGAGGTCGAGGAAATGAACTCGTAGTCTCTAGTTGGTCTTTATAGAGACTAGTCATGACGTTAAATGGTCCCAATCACCACCAAGGATCAAACGGCTTGTGGTGGTTCTAGTTGGGATCTGGAGAAGTTGATCTGTTGCCTTTTGTTCCCGCCATGGCATGCTCATTTCGTGACAGTAAGCATGACGTCTTGCGCCATGGCAGGTAAATTCCAAATAAATTTTAGGCTGTTTCCTTGTGCGGAGAAAGGCGTCCGAGGGCGTTGACAGAGGCAATACATGAGTCAAGCCTAAAGTTCAGAAGTCCAAGTTGAAGCAATCGGAACATCATGCGCAGGTGCGTTGAGCTACAGGAGCGCCATGGGAAAGATACAACGGAAATGTGATTGCATACAAAGTAAGGGCTGCTGAAGATCACCGGGCAAAGCAGGATGTAAGGAGGAGGTTTGGAGCCTGAGGCAACTTAGGAGCCTAGGAGGAGGTACCTGAATGGGAAATTGTTTGTTGCTTGGTTTTTGATGGCAACCTCGTCCGCTTTTCTGCAACTCACCTTCATCTCTATGTAAACAAATCGTCCTTGTTGGGATTGGCGCAGGGAGAGACGGCTTGAGGAACTCCCAAGACAGTGGGATCCAACGTGAACACTGAAAAGTGTAGTATATAAACGGACTGTCGTCCGTGTACGTTAGATACGAGATCTAGAGTAAAAACTATACTACTCACCTGTCGTCCGTGTACGTTAGATACAAGATCTGAAGTAAACGGACGACGGTGAACTACGGTAGGTCACGTGAAAAGAGTGGGCCTGTAAGGTAGCGGCGGGACGAATCATAATACTCAACACTCCCACCTGATGATGTCCCGGACAATATCACTGCAGTGGCTCCTTGGACCACTCCCCAACAACCCCCATCATGCGCCTGAACTTCTCGACAAGGTCTCGAGTTAGTGCCTTGGTGAGAATATCTGCTGCCATCTCAGCAGTAGGGATGTAAGAGGGAATGATTTTCCTATCGTAAACAGCCTGTCGCAACCAAAACCAATGGCGGTCGAGGTGCTTGAGCCTTCCCATATGCTCAGGCTGCTTTGAGACGGAGATTGCAGAATTGTTGTCCATTTTGAGATCCGAGGGACCAACTTGTGTCGTACCAATTTCATCAAGGAAATTTCGCATCCAGCAAAGCTCTCGTCCAGTTTCACTGGCAGCAATAAACTCGGCCTCGGTTGTGGAGTTAGCAACAATGGTTTGGATCTTGCTGCTCCAGCTAACAGCGCCACCAGCAACCATAAGTAGCATCCCAGTAGTAGATCGGCCGTTGTCAAGATTACCGCCGTGATCAGCGTCAGAAAATGCTTTGAAAAACGTTGGTGCAGGTGTCGAGGCAATGGCGGAGTACTCAATCCGATAATCCAAGGTCCCACGTATGTAGCGGAGAAGGTGTTTAACAGCCTTCCAATGGTCAAGCCCGGGATTGGAGTTAAAACGACATAGAACTCCCACCGAATACACGATGTCAGGACGTGTTGCGAGAGCCAGGTAGAGCAAGCCTCCTGTAGCTTGAATATAAGGTATTCGGCTCATTTCTTCGACCTCCTGTGATGTTTGTGGGGACTGGGACTTTCTGAGCTTTATGTTAGGGTCCATGGGAGTAGTTACCGGATTGGCGTCGAGCATGTTGAAGCGTGAAAGAAGGTCAACAGCGTAAGCACGCTGGTCAATCCAGAGTTTGCGGTTAGGGCGATCACGGGTGAGACGCACACCAAGAAGGCCGACTGCTGGTCCAAGATGGTTGAGATCAAAGTACTCGCGAAGTTGATCAATGACCTTGAGGATGGCCGGTCGTGATGCTGATGCAATTGTCATGTCGTCGACATGGACAGGGATAATGATGCGGACCTTATCACGTAGGTAGACATATACGCAAGGATCTGAGACCACACGCACAAAACCGATCTTGATGAAGACCTCGTTCATCCGCTTATGCCAAAGATATGCGCCCTGCTTGAGACCGTAAAGACCCTTTAAAAGGCGAGCGACTGGTCGTCCATCTCCAGGTTGTTTGATGATATCAGGTGCAGGATGTGCAGGAAATCCGTCAGGGAGATTCATATAAATCTCCATTTCTTCAGGCATAACACCATGCAGAAATGCGGCGCGAATGTCAACCGACTCTAGGTGCATATCCTCGACTGCTGCAAGAGCAAGAATAGTGCGGATAGCATTCCAGCGTGCTGTTGGTGCAAAGGTTTCGTCAAAGTCGACACCAGGGCGTTGACTATAGCCTTGGGCGACCACACGCGCTTTGAACTTATCGAGGCAGCCATCTGGAAGGTGTTTAACCTTGAACACCCAACGTGAGCCAATTGACTTCTTTCCTGCAGGAAGATATACAACGCGCCAGGTGCCATTCCTCTCAATTGCGTTCATCTCCAGACACATTGCAGTGTACCACTCCTCAGAGTGATCACTTCCCATGGCCTCTCGATAGTTACGTGGATTGGTGTCATGGGCGCCAACTTTCATTGCGCAGGTAGACGATTGCAATGTCGCGGAAAAAGCACTGTATCCCCCCGAATCGGTTCCATTCTCGACGAACGTACGTCCAGCCATCATGAGAGCTTCATCAGACACAAGATCGAGGTTAAAATTCACCTCCTGTTCGCCAAATTCATCAGCAGGGCCAAGAGATGCATCCCAAAGCAGCTTGTCAGTGTTGTCATTCACTGGGATGGGAAGGGCTGGAGCAGGGATGTCAGGCACAAGATTACGTAGTCTCTTAGCATCAGCTTTTGCATCCGCTTGACGTTGGATTGAGGAATAATAGTCGTCATATTTCTGGACAGGCTTGCGAGTGCGAGGGCCAGTAGGGAGCTCAAAAGGAGGAGGGGGGAGAGCATGTTCACGGCGACGACGTGCAGGTGGAGGAGAATCAGCTCCCACCAAAGGAGGCAAATCGGCTCCCACCAAAGGAGGCAAATCGTTAGAAGGTGCCTCTAAAGCAGGAGGGAAAACAGGATCATCTTCATCAAACGGGTCTTCATGTTCTGGGAGATCCATGAAATTGGCAAGGGGTGGAGCAAAATCAGAGTTCAAGGAAGAGGATTTGGTTGAGGTACCAGGAAATCGGGATTCATCAAATATGACATCACGCGAGATGTAGGTCTTCTTCGAAACTGGATCATAAACCTTCCAACCAGCATGGTTTGAAGGATATCCAATGAAAATACCTTTGATGGTATGACCTTGCAAGCTCTTGCGCTTATCCCGACCAATGAGGACATACGCACGGCAGCCAAAAACACGAAGATGGCCACAGCGAGGTTTTCTGCCCTTGAAACCACTGTAAGGTGTAGAACCTTTTGGAAGAGCAGCTGTCGGAGAACGGTTGTGTACATGGCGGAATACATTGAGAGCATCACCCCAGAAGCTCATCGGGAGGTTTGCTTCATTAAGCATTGAGGTGAGTGCTTCAGCTGTGGTCCGATTATTCCGTTCAACAACTCCATTTTGCTGTGGAGTAGCACGTGTCGTAAACTCGATTCGAATGCCCTCTGCCATAAGAAAGTCGACGAATTCCTTGAGTGTAAACTCGCCCCCTTGATCAACATGGAAACATTTGATTTTCCGGCCAGTCTGCTTTTCGACAAGAGCCTTGAAGAGTTTGAATGCTCCAAAAACATCGCTTTTCTTGGCTATATCATAGACTTCCATCCAACGGAATGCGTCATCAATAAATGTGACCCAATAACGTTTCCCAGAGCGGTTCCGTACACTCATGGGACCGTGAACATCACTAAAAATGCGATCTAGAGCACCAGTCGCTCTATCAGCGGTATGAGGGAATGGGTGCCGGTGTTGCTTTCCAGCGATACATGATTCACAGATGTTGTCAAGAGGAGCATCTGATGTGAGGACAGTATCTGATGCTAAATCTTCGTCAATGAACCTTTCAAGGCGATCGTGGCCAAGATGGCATAGGCGTTTATGAAGAAGGTTGCGGTCAATGACTGCTCCACGAACGGCAGAAATATTGGATGAAATGTTGGGGACAACGACTGTTCCATCAAGATAAGCCGTTGTTGATGAGTCGACGGTTGCAGTGAAAAGAGTTTTGTGTTTCCGAATGAAAGACAATTTGGAGCCGCGGATCACGACAGTGAATGCTCGCTTCGTCGTGAGGGTAAGAACAGATAAGAGATTATTGGCAAGATCTGGTACATGAAGTACATCTGTGATGATAAGATCCTCCAATGCCCTTCCATTTGACTGTCGACCTGAAGGCCGGAAATGTACTGATCCCTTCCCAGTTGAATAAACAATATGCCCATTTGCGATGTGGACTGGAACACGCCAAGGTTTGAAGTCGCTCGAAATCCAATTGCGATGAGGTGTCATATGCGCTGTGGCGCCAGAGTCTGCATTCCAATGTGTGTCAGCTGAGGCCTTGGTGCTAGCAGAGATACAAACAGCGGATTCGGCCTTGACAGAAACACCATCACAGCCCTCTTCGACCTTGGAGGCATTGGCCGAGTCCCGGTTTGCGCCACGTCCAGCTCCACGTCCTCCACGATTCTTCTTCTTCCCCCCAGATGCAGGCAATTTCTGAGCACTGCTGCGAGCCTCGATATAGCTAGCGCATTCACGTTGCATGTGCGGACCACCACACCAATGACATTTGATGTCTCGAGCGGCAGCGGCAGCAGCAATGACAGCGGCGGCCTCGATCTCAGCCTGGGTGCCTCGACGTTGAGTCTCTTCAACGCGAAAGGCTTCCAAGACGGCGTCCTTCGTGAGAGTCGATAAGAGTAGGACAGAGGATATGAAGGGGTTGTAGTCCTCGCGAGGAAGAGCGCGTATCATGGCCATGATTGCGAGTTCTTCGTCAAGCAAGGAAAGGGTGTATGGCGGTTCTTTGGGGCGAAGATTGACGACAGTTTGCATAGCCCCTTCAACACGAGCAGTCAGCTGAGTGAGGGTTTCGTCTTCTTTGAGGCGAATGGAAAAGAGATCGGAGAGAGAGTTGAAACGGGAGTTTGGCGCGGATTTATTGTGAATGAGTGCGAGCTTGTCCCACATCGCTTTCGGGTCTTCTCGAATGGACAGAACATGCACCTTGTTTGCTTCATCCAACCACTGATAGATTTCTCCAGCTGCCTTCTCGCATCGTGTTGCGTAGGCGTTGTACGCGGCCATACTGGCTGAAGTGACGTCGGAGGAACTACCAGGGTCGGAGATCACGGTTTCCTTCCCATTGATAATGCGACTGACCCCCAGGTACATCATGCGGCCGTACATCGCGGATTCCCATTCATTATAGCTAATGATGCCGAGCTTTGCAAGCGGGCTCTTGCGCGAGGTGTCCGTGTCCATAATGGCAGGGATCGGTTAGATCAGATAACGATCTGACAGGTGTGTGAATCTCGGGCTGCGACGACTGAGCGGAGCGAGGGATTGGAGGAGAGGGCTGCGACACGTGAGAGTGGAGCCTTCGAGGTGTGTTGGGAGGAGTTCAAGAATGTCTGGGGCCGGGGCCCATAACCTGTTGGGATTGGCGCAGGGAGAGACGGCTTGAGGAACTCCCAAGACAGTGGGATCCAACGTGAACACTGAAAAGTGTAGTATATAAACGGACTGTCGTCCGTGTACGTTAGATACAAGATCTAGAGTAAAAACTATACTACTCACCTGTCGTCCGTGTACGTTAGATACAAGATCTGAAGTAAACGGACGACGGTGAACTACGGTAGGTCACGTGAAAAGAGTGGGCCTGTAAGGTAGCGGCGGGACGAATCATAATACTCAACAACTTCTTGGCACAAGGCCTGCCTTGCGCTTGTTAACAAACGGCAAGTTGATCGGTTCACACCTCAGGGGGCCTCAGAGGCCAATTACTTGTCTGGGGGTAATTGGCCTCTGAGGGTGATCCTGTCACTGCGCACGCTATGCGCATGTTGTCGTTCCAAAAATAGCTCCGGCTGATGGTTGCCGGTGTCCGGACACGTGCACCTGGGCGCTGCTTGCGCTCGCCATTCCGATGACGAACGACCTCCACCCCCTTCGTTGACATATTGCCCACCAGCCACTTTCTCCGCCTACGTCTCTTGCACAACATCCTATGTACGCTACCAAACAGCGAGAGCTGAGCGCAGAGCACTCAGAGTCAGGGCACTCGCTTTCTACTACGGCGACTAGCTAGTGATGAATTCGACAACGAACAATCTCCACCCCAGTAACATGTTTTCCCACCACTCCTCGCGCAGCATTCTCCGCCACCAAAAAGGGATTCACGCCACTGTTGATATCCAGATATCACTGCGAAATGGCTCGATACATCATACGTCAAACAACGGCATGGAATTATGGCTACTGTGGAAGGGATTATGGGAGATGGTTAACCTTGTACATACAATCTAAACAGGTATGTCTATTATGATTCAACCTCATTGGTGACCGGACTTCAGGAGGCCAATGCGCAGGACATTCCAGCTGAACCTTTCGACGATTCAGATATTCCTCAACTCCGAATATTTTCAATGTTCTATCTCTGTGCTCACATTGGTGTCATGGCTCGAGTGCTTCCACCAACTGAGTCCCGATTGCAGTCGCTGCTGAGACCTTGTTGCGTCGCGCATTCACCAAATCTCTTGGTCACGACGCTCGCCCTCCTACTCGAACATCTATACCGAAGAGAAAGAACTCGTTGGCAGGTTTTCAGCGATAGGAAAGCATGGAAGAAGCAGGTGGATAGTGAATCGCGAGTGAGTACTGTTTGCATTCATATTTCCGTCTTTTTTTGATGATTCCTTGTTCCCAAGACATATGACGTTCGCCCCCTTCTATTCGGCGAGTTTCAGTTCTCTCCTCTGTTTGGAATGTATTACAACCGTAACATATTTGAAGTAGGCATTGAGATGCTTCCCGATTCCTCTTTCTCCAATTCTATCAACATGCCAATCCCTGCTGACATCCTATCCCTCAGTGTCGGTCAGGTACTAGATTTTATTTGGCTGTAGGTTACATTATCAAGGGATCTTACATATTGACTCTTGTAATACACATATTTTATCCTATTTACATTACTCAGTCGCTCGCCCATCCTGTGTAAGAATAATAGAGATAGGTACATCCTGCTTCACCCATTGTTCAAGGGATTAACCTGACCCCACGTTCTGCAGGGCCCATCTGAGATTATGGCGCCTGAGGACCTGTTGTTCATTCTCTATGTGAGATTTTTTTTTGTTTCACACGAAGCCTGCCTATAGTTTCTGCTGCATCAGCAAAACGTCCAATTACACTTTGGTAACTTAGACTTTGATGTTTGCAACTTTGAGCAACTATTTTAACTTTATCGTGAACTTTCACTTCAGGAATACATCTTTGACTTTGATTTCTATTCTTTGATCTACTTTCTGAACATCTTTTACTTTGGAGTTGAAACTTTGAAAAGAGACAAAAATTATAAAATTAGAAGTTATTCTTTGAACTACTTTCTGAACGTCGTTTACTTTGGAAACTTTGAAAAGAGACAGAAATTATAGAATTAGAAGTTTAGAAGGCTATCTCATGAGCATGATAATCTATATACTTATTTACGTAGAAGGCTTGGAAAGAATCTAAACTATCATTAAAATTAAAGTTGTGAGGAAGGCGCGTTGCGCCGTCACAAACACCCATCAGATGAGCATTGCGCAAAACGGAATCAAGGTGAACGATATCTAACAACGGGTTCCCAAGATCATCAAGGTCAGGCTTTACCTTCCACATCCGTGTGTCGGGACAGGGCTGATCTCCTATCACTGAGTACCATGACACGAGGGCACATGGATGCGCAATGCCATGATGCCGGATCGAAAGGAAAGAGCGGACACGTGCGACGAGCAGCCCGCGGAAGCCTTCGAGGTTGCTGTCCTGCTCAACGAAAGCGCAATCATATCTCGGGGGCCCTTTCCTCCATGAGCTGACTGCCCGAATACGTTCTCGAAACATTCCTCGCGTGCCAGACTTGTCACTGGGAGCGAAGTAGGTGGCGAGAGCGGAGGCGTAGACGCGGACTTTGACATGGGAAAGAGATGGGCAGTTGTCGAGAGGCACAAGGCCTAGGGGGATAAGTGAGTCGGGGTTTTCCTGTTGGTACAAGAAACGTCGGACAAGCTCTGGAAGTTCTGGGGTGCCCAGTTGATCAGCAAGGGCAGTAACCTCGCGTGGTAGCCTAGGGACTACATGTAGAAAGGTTGGTCAGGCAATAAGTACAAAAGAAAAAGATATAGAAACGTACGTGGCTTTCTCGCGAGAGTGACCTCCCCCAAAATGTCACCATCAACCGCTCCTCCATCGTCATCTTCCTCAACCTCTGGTCGCGTGGTGGGGGGCAGTTGGGGACCAGGTGGGTCGTGTCCACTAAACATGGAGGCATTGAGCATCCCCCTAGCTTGGAAGTTGACACGTGCAGCAGCTAGCTTATCGAGCCGCTGGTTAGTAACAAGCATCTGGCCGAGTGCCTCAAAACGGCTCGAACGACGCCACGGCTCCTTGACAGCTGCAATGTGCCTTGATTCGGTAATCGATGAACAAAGGCCGTTCGGCGCACCAAACTCTTGGATTAAGAACTTGTAATGAACGATGGAGTGTTGGCGGGGTAAGGAGTACCCGTCCGGGCGAATGGCATTGAATGCAACGCGCTCACGGTGGAAGTCGGCCACAGCATTGTCAATGGCGATGAGATCATCGTCATCGATAACGGAGCGGCGTACTAAATAACAAAACTCCATGAACGCGCTGATTGCACGGACCATTTGAGGCGGAACATGACCCATGATAGCGGGGAGGTAGACCTGCCGAGGGAATAAGTCAATAGCGTAAGAGACGGAGGAGATCAAAAAATACCTTCATGAGAGCCTTGGAATCATCTCCCGTCCACTGTTTAAAGCCACGACCCTCTGGAAAGCGTCGAAGGCCCGGGAACGGAGGAGCAGTAGCAATCCTGAGTTTATATGGAGGTAAGAGATGGTTACCGAAAGATAAAACAGAATGACTTACCGGCGGTCGATGTCGGCTAAAATTTGTCTTGCCTCCGCAGGTGAATAAGTCGCCTCGATGTATTCCGTGACCCAAGTGACGAGGTGATCCTTGAAGGTACCTTTGATGATCTGGTGTAGAAGATCAGGAGACAAAAGCTCATGGATATCCGCTCTCGGAAATCCATGAGTGAAAGGCTCAATAAAATGTTAGATTTAGAGTTGATAGAAGAAAGAAACAACATACCATGATATCAGAAATTATTCCGTAGTCATCCCAAAGGGACTTCTTTCNCACTGCCTCAAAGTTCGGAAAAAGGTACACTTGTCCATGCCATTTTACCTCCTATCTACTTACACGATTTTGAAGGGTATGTTTCAAAACCCGTTGATCATGTACACCCTCGCGCACGCCCATTTTATTGAGTACGGCGACGACATACAATCTCAGCTCAACGAGGACAACAAACCTGTCAGTGCCATAATTCTCTCCTTACAAGCCGTAAGTACAACATCATCAGCCTACCGCGCCAACACTGACATCTTTTCTCTCAGGTTGAACATGTACTTAGGTCCTGGCAAACGGGGACACGCGACAGCAGTGGCACAGCAAGTGCCGGTTACTTCTCATCCGACAACTACGGAGACCGCACGGTGAAGGAGACAAAAGGGACTGGTCCCTCCGGGAAGACGTTCATGAAGATCGACCCCCGCGCCTCGCGGTTCCTCAAATCGGCCAAGGACCTCACGGACAAGCACTGGGCGGAGATTTTTGCGGCTGCCACGGCGTTTCTCAGCAACAGCCGCAAGCGGAAACGATCCCAATCAGCATCGTCATTCGCCAGTTCAGACCTTGTAGAGGATAGTATCCCCGAGTATTCATTTGTATCTGATTCGGATTGAATACAATTTTATTTTATGCCCCACTGAAGTACCGAAAGTTTACAAATAAGTGAATCAAAGTTGTACTACCAAAGTGAAAGATGGATACCAAAGTGCTGCCGAAAGATGTTTTTCAACTTTGGAAAGTGGTTCAGCAACTTTGAAAGTTGTTCAGCAACTTTGAAAGTTCTTGTACCTTACTTTCCAAAGTTGTCGAACTCTGGCAACTTTCGCAACTTTACAACTTTGCAAAGTTGCGAAAGTTGCCCAAAGTTCAATCGGACGTTTTGCTGATGTGTTAGACGTCCGGATCTACATAGTGTCGTCCGCGCCGCAGGAGAGTACCTTAAGTTTGCACAGCCCTCGCTGTCAAATACATCTTTGATGTCTTCCCCGATAACAAATGGCTGACGTCGGTTGGATCACTGGTCACACATACGTTATATTTTCCTCAATCACTCGCAATTCTCAGATGACATCCAGATATATTGTGTACGGCCCTCTCGCCAACGGAGTCACTACCACGGTGCTCACCACGTCGAGAACCATGACCTCAGCAGCCTGTGCGTCCTTAGCAGCGTGGGCGAGCCTATCGACCCAGAGGCGTCGAATTGGTATAACGAACGTGTTGGTAAGACTCAGTGCGCCATTGCGGATACCTTCTGGTGAGTTGTACATATTCCGTGGTGTCCACTGATGCTGAACGCTCACAGGCAAACAGAGACTGGGTCGATCGTCATTACACCGTTCCCTGGTGTTATCGAGACACTCCCCGGCTCCGCAATTATCCCCTTCTTCGGTATTGAGCCTGCCATTCTTGATCCCGTTACGGGCAATGAATTGGAAGGTAATAATGTTGAAGGTGTTCTTGTCCTCAAGACGCCTTGGCCGTCTATCGCTCGCACTGTCTGCAAAGAACATAAAAGCTATCTGGGCACCTGCATGAATGTATGCCATTTCGCCTTTTTGACATTGTTTCACACCTCGCGTGGGCCGAGTTGTATTTAATGTTCTCGAACATATTCAGGAAAACCGATATGGAGCTCTTCAACACGACGTATGTTATTTCCCATTAACTCTTAGCACGTTTTCTCTCTGATGGAATAACAGGGAGGACGACATTAAATTCAGTGCTTACCTGACTCCACGGTATCGTGGAAAGTAAAGCGTTGTTGGACGATTGAAGGCGAGCACGTAGCTCCTGTAATGCCAGTCAGTATATAGTCCTAAGGTTCCACTGCCAGTGTGTACACGTCATAAAATCGTTATATTCCGTAAGTACGTTGCATACTATATTTTACTGAAGTTGGGGTAATATGCGTAAGGTAAGCTTGTCCAAGGAAGGAATAATGCAATCAGGTTCGTCGCAAATGAACCGCGGATAATGTCAAAGGGGGATAACGAAGGTGTGTGAACGAAGATGAAAAAAAATGGCAAGGAAAACGAAGATAATAAACCATAAAGATGGAGAACAATCCAGCAGAGATCGAATAATTACCACTCCCCGACCCACTCCCCTCCACTGGCAAGGGAGGAAAAGACGCCCTGCGCTGGATGAGCTTGTCAGCGAAACGTTGAACAGTACTCCCTGGGGTGCCTGTTGAATTCCCGCTCAA